TTATTTACAGTTTTCAACTACCTTTAAGATCATCAAAAAGCAAAAGTTAATTTGGTGTTTCTTTACTGTTTTATTTTACTGTTTCAAAACAAAGTTGCCTCTTGGAACCTCTTTTCAAAAGTAGCAACAGATTACCAAAAAATATAGAGATATATGTAGAAATATATAAAAGACTTACGGGTTCACATTCCCCAGGTGGCCTTCTAAGATGTGGTTTTGCTATCACTTTACCCAAGATGCCTAAGCCACCAACACTACCAACAATACCTTTATATTTCCCCCCTACAGACTCCATAATTTCTAAGTTTTATTTACTTAACGGTATATATTAAATAATAACAATATTCCCATTTTACAGGCATCAAAGGCATATTTGCCAACTGCAGCCTTTTAGTAACATGAGATTCAGAATACTATCAAATTTTCTTGCAAAAAGCAAAGGCATTTAGCATTTTAGCCCTAAATATGGTAGCTTTAACAAGGGTAAAGATACGTGTTCTATGTTTTTCAGAATTAAGGGCAACGAATTTCAACACCCATACTCTCTTCCGCGATCCCCAAGCTTTAGAAGTACCAGTCTACGCAACGTGGGCAGCCATATTCAATGGAAAATATCAAACAGCAAGTCCCTACAGCAACACCTGCTAGAAAGAACACTCCTCAGACTCCAAAAATCAAAGTGAGTCAGGAGCCAATAGCTTCTACGAGGCAGAATGCTGTAAAGAACATTTAAGGCTCAGGTCCAAGACTACCAGAATCCCAGGATCCCTAGAAAATGTTCTACAGAAACAAGTTTCCATTTTTATGATGTAAAGGGAGAGGAGACAACTTGACAAAAAGACATTACATTCTGCTTTATAAAGTTTTCCAGGACAACATCTATTTCACAAATCAAACACCCACTGACTTGAACCAAAAGCAACATCTAAGGCAACTGTTGTTAATTACAGGATACTGTTCTCTATCCCTTCCATGTAACTGTTGTTAGTTACAGGATACCTTTCTCTCTCCCTTCCACAGCTCTTTTAAAACCTGAATAGATGCTGCTGCCCAAATCGCAGAAAGGGAAATGCAAACATTTCTCCCCCGGCCCTAAATGCCTAAGTTTTCATTTCAAAGAACTATCCCTTGAAGTTCTATGATCAAGCAGACTCAGTTTCACAAATGTAAACTCAAAAACTATAACTCAGGATTGAAAAAAAATCTAGTTCAAAATATGTAGGCAATAAAGCTCAAAATCTTCTAAGTATCAGACAGTAACTAAGCACCTGCTGCTATGTAGACTGCCATTAGTAATAAACCAGTCTTCCCTCTTAGGTTTCTACCCCTCTTCCTGAACAGCAAAAACAGCTTTAGAGGCCATTATTTCAGGAGGTCAGAGCGCACACTGCACAGCTGAGCTTCAACCTGTGTTCTTGGCTTGTACCTGCCAGCAGAGCAGGATCCCTCCACCATCTCACCACACACCTTCTTAACATGAACGCGGACATGCACATAAATCTAGGACATTCTGAAAGAATGTGAAATACTCAGTCATGAGAAATCTTGTCCATACGGATGGGGGATCTCACAGTAGACAAAGGTCTAGCCCATAATGACTGAAAGCTCATTTGAGAGTTAGGAGGGGAAGAAAAATCTTTCCTATTTAGGTAAACTAGGTGAGATAAAATATTTTTTAGTTAACACACAAAGGCTGCAAGAAATTCTGGAGCCTTTCAACAACAGAAGACAGGAAGGAGGACCGGGCAAGCGGGGAAGAAAGAGACATTCTGCACTCATTTCTGTTTTAAAAGTAGGTTCCAGACAGACAGACTGGCCTCCTAAAAGAACTACCTGGCAGGGCAGTGTGCTGAAGAGCTCTGAGCGAGAAGATGCGCGCTTATTTGAGATGTAATCCCAGGAGCACAGGCAGTCACCTGCAAGGAATCCTGGTTAGAATCTCAGGTAGAACCTGAGGCCCTGCCGGTGGCTGGGAAGCCAATGACCAGGATATGCAATAAGCAAGAGATAGTCACAGAAAGTCAAAGCAAATAATATAAAGACGGCAAATGGAAAAATACGTCCATAAAAGGTCGAATCGGGAGGTGCTGAGAGGGCAGGCACAATCCAGGGAAAGGTTAAGTGGCCTTGCCGTTTCCCAGAACCACATGCTGGCAGACAGCGGAGGCAGAAGCGCCTGCAGTTCTCTGGACGCCTGAAGATCTCTCCAACCCCTTAAAGCCGACAGGACGAAAACCAAACTCCTTGTGTTTCTCCCACACCCCAGCCTCCTCACTCACGCCATCCTCCTAGCCGTTCCCGGGCTCAGCCACCCTCCTGTTCATTTTATTTGAGATGCATTCTCCACAAAAACTTTGAGTAAGAAAAAATAAAGGAATTTGTTTTCAGCTAATTTACGCACTCAAGGGCTTGCTCTCATCTCTCAGTTTTTCTTGGAAAATTTTTGCACAATCCTTCCTTTCCCAACTCACAGGAATGAAATGTGAAAGTAAATGGTTTTGAGTACATTTTAACAATAATCTTCACTTCCTTGTTATCTTCTCTGAAAATCTACCCCTAAAGTCATGCACCGTAACCTTAGTAATTTTTAAATTGGAGAGATTATGTGCCCTAGGGGACCTCTGGCAATATCTGGAGACATTTTTCGTTGCTGTAAATAGGGGAGGTAGCGCCGGGAGCGGTGGCTCATGTCTGTAATCCCAGCACTTTGGGAGGCCAAGGTGGGTGGATCACCTGAGGTCAGGAGTTCGAGACCAGCTTGGCCAACATGGTGAAACCCTGTCTTTACTAAAAATACAAAAAATAGCTGGGCGTGGTGGTGCACGCCTGTAATCCCAGCTACTTGAGAGGCTGAGGCAGGAGAATTGGTTGAACACAGGAAGCAGAGGTTGCAGTGAGTCGACATCAAGCCATTGCACTCCAGCCTGGGCCACAAGAGCAAAACTCCGTCTCAAAAACAAAAAAAAATAGGGGAGATGGTGGTACCGGTCATCTAGTGGGTAGAACTCAGGGAGGTGGCTCAACATCCTACAATGCCCAGGACAGACGCCACAACAAACATCAGCTGGCCCAAAATGTCAACAGTGCCAGGGTTGAAAAAACTCGTTTTAGGAAAAAAGAAAACAAAAGAAACGAAGAAAATGCTTCATAATATAAAATATCCTAATATTCTCTTATGTTACTTTTTTTTATAAGCACAAACAGACAAAGCACACACTGTGTCTTAAAATTCCACATTTAGAGTTAATGAGAACTGATGTTTGTTATATGTCAGGATCTGCAGCCGGGCAGGAGGGAGAGGGCAGGTCAGCTCTGATTGCCTAACATAAACCCCTCGTTACTAAATGGTAACACGACTTTATCTTTGGGCACTGCTCCAGAGTGAAATACCTTACCAATAAACATCAACTCCAGCCTTATTTTTTATTTAATTCTATTTATCTGTTTAGAGACAGGGTCTCACTCTGTCCCCCAGGCTGGAGTAAAGTTGTGCGATTTCTGCTAACTGCAACCTCTCCCAGGTTCAAGGGATTCTTCTGTCTCAGTCTCCCAAGTAGCTGGGACTACAGGCGTGCGCCGCTAGGTCTGGCTAATTTTGGTATTTTGGGGGTTAGAGATGGCGTTTCGCCATGTTGGTTAAACTGGTCTCGAACTCGTAGATTCAAGTGATCCACCCGCCTCAGCCTCCCAAAGTGCTGGGATTACAGGTGTGAGCCACCGTGCTTGGCCCAGCCTCATTTTTTAAAACAGGCCTTTTGATTTTAACATTTTCTGCAAAACCAAAGTCCTCTGATGTAAACTGTGATCCAGCTCAGACCAGGCATCTGTTTTTGTCTCCCTGCTCCCGGACTATGTAAAAAATTCCCATCACTAAACCTTCTCATTATTGGGAGAGGGGCGTGAGCATGCGTTAAGATTCATGATTCAGACTCCCCAAAAGTGGTAAAACACTTCCAGAGGATCTAAGACAACCACCAAAAACGCCCCTTAGCGTGTGCGGCAAAAATTATAATCGAATGCAAATTATCTATCAAAGGAATGTCTTCCTTTAAGTTAACAAACGTTCCCTATTACACCTTCCAAAACTGTTAGGGGCGAGTCCGACAGCAGAACGCACGCTGCTCTGCCTGGCCTCTTCCTGTGTTCTTGCTCGAGCCACACACCGCGGTCTCAGGAGTCAAGCACCGCACCTGGCTGCCAAAGCCAGGAAAAGGTTAATTAACACCGGGCCTCTTCCAGGTGAACGCGATGCGAGTGGATGTGGGCCCCAAGGTCGGCCAGTGGCTGCCAAGGGAAGGGCGGGCCCGGACCACACCCGACCTCCGCACTTGGGGTCCCCTCCGGCGGGATCCGTGGCTCTCGGGGTGGGTGGTCTCCAGCCGGCCACTCCGGGGATGCCGCCGGTCGTGGAAGGACACCCTTCTATTCAAACTCAAGGAAGAAAGGGATCATTTAAATCCCCCGCATAGCTGCGCGCTCTCCCCGGAAGGCTGCTCCAGCACCGCCACAGGGCCCGAGCGCCAGCTCCTGCCTAGTGCACCAGCTCCTGCCTAGTGCGCCCCCGGACCACGTAGCGATGATGCCACCGTGCCCGGGCGCTCCCAGGTGTGCACGCGCAGGTGTGCACGCGCAGGTGTGCGGATTCGGGGAGCGCTCCCAGGTGTGCACGCGCAGGTGTGCGGATTCGGGGAGCGCTCCCAGGTGTACACGCGCAGGTGTATGGACTCGAGGAGACTTCCCAGGTGTACACGAGCAGATGTGCGGACTCGGGGAGCGCTCCCAGGTGTGCGGACTCGGGGTGGTGGGGGGCACCCAGGTGTGCACGTGCAGGACTCGGAAGCGCGCCCAGGCGTACACGCGCAGGTGAGCGAACTCGGGGGGCGGGGGGCGCGCCCAGGCGTACGTATGCGGACTCGGGCCCGCGAAAGACAGGTCATGCCAGTGAACCCCCAAACCCGGCCCACGCTCCCTGCGCCCCAAGCGGCTCATCCCCAACTCACCTCTTCCAGAAATTTGGTCAAATCGTACACCTTGTGGTGCAGGATCAGCCAGGTGCTCTTGCTGTGGTTGTGCTTCTGAATCTCCTCTAGGGTGTAGTACTTCACGGCCTCGTCCGACTGCTCTGCCATCTCGGTTCGCCGCGAGCCAGGCCCAGCACACACAGCCGCGTCGGGTGGAGCAGAGCGCGCGACTCCGCCAGCTCCACCCGGGACATTCCCCGCGCCGGGCACAGCTCCGGGGGCTGGGCGGCCGGCTCAGGGGCGGGGCGCAATAGAAGGACCCCCGACGGTTGGCCGTCATCCTTGTCATTCAAAAGTCCCCGCCTTAGGTCGACCCCCTCCGCCTGCCCAAGCGTGGTCCCGCCCAGTGTGCGGGTGTTAATTGGCTGCCGGAGGTGCCCTTCACAATCTCCCGACCGCCGCGGGGCGCAGAAGGCGGGACAGGACTCCACGGAGTCTGCGCGGAAGGGCGGGACGAACTGTGGCTAGGGTGGAGGTGGGAGGTCGGGGGCGTCCCAGCGGATTAAGCGTGCGAGTGAGCGAGGTGTACCAGCGGGGATGGATGGCAGGTGCAGAGTCCATTGCTTGGGAGGGCGGCGACCTGGGCAGCGAATCGCGGGAGTTTCCTATTCGCAGCAGCCCGAGTCCCAGACGTTAATTTGTAACAAAAGTAGCCATGGCCAAGTCCATAATGGGGGCGTCTCGGGTAGCCCTTCGCATGCAGGCAAGAGATGAAAGCCCCGTGCGCGCTAGAAAACGGTTTCGCAACTGACTTCGGGAAGCAAATGCGCTGCGCCCCAAAAAATAAAGTTGGCGAACTGTGCTTGACCTCGCTGGGGTTTTGGAATCCCTCGTCCTCACAGGAAAAAAATCCAGGGAAATCATCTTTTCTTTAAAAAGCAGAAGTGTCCAAATTATTTCTGTGACTGAAGTAGTTTGGCTGCGGTTGGCCAGTGACGTGGCAAGGCCTTGTTTGTGCATTTAAGCTAAATCAGATTCTCTTCTAGCAGTCTGGAAGAGAACCTCCCCAGAGGGCACCCTCTTTCCCTTCTGACGCAGGGAAAATACCACATATAAAGAGCTACAAATGTTTGAAGGAGGGAAAAAAAAAGAAAAATTCCAGCATGTTAAAATTTGGTATGTTATTTAGGCCCTTTTGAGCAACGGTAGTTAATTACAAAAAGAACCACACTAGAGATTTCACATGTGAGGTCATCCACCCTTCCAGGGACACACAAGGTTCCTACACATAGTAAGTGTCTGACGAATGTGAGCTCCCTTCCCCTTGCTTACCTCTTCCATAGGATAGAATACCTATCCAGAAAAACACAAAACACACACCTCAGGCCTCTGAGCCCAAGCCTGCACATATACATCCAGATGGCCTGAAGCAACTGAAGAATCACAAAAGAAGTGAAAATGCTGAAGCAACTGAAGAATCACAAAAGAAGTGAAAATGACCGGTTCCTGCCTTAACTGATAAGACAATCCCCTGTCCTCCTGCTCATTGCTCTGTGAAAAAGATCCACCTACGACCTCGGTCCTCAGACCAACCAGCCCAAGGAACATCTCACCAATTTTAAATTGGGTAAGCAGCTTCTTTTTACTCTCTTCTCCAACCTCTCTCACTGTCCCTCAACCTCTTTCTCCTTTCAATTTTGGCACCACCCTTCAATTTATCCCTTCCCTTAATTTCAGTTCCTTTCCTTTTCTGGTAGAGACAGAGGAGATGCGTTTTATCCATGAACCCAAAACTCTGGCACTGGTCACAGACTCGAGAAGACAGTATTCCCTTGGTGTTTAATCACTGCAGGGATGCCTGCCTGATTATTCATCCATATTTCAGAGGTATCTGATCACCACAGGGACACCTGCCTTGATCCTTCACCTTGGTGGCAAGCACCACCTCCTTTGGGTGGCAAGTGCCACCCCAACCCTCTGTGTCTCTACTCTCTTTTATGTGGGCTTGCCTCCTTCACTATGGGCAATCTTCCACCCTCCATTCCTCCTCCTCCCTTAGCCTGTGTTCTCAAGAACTTAAAACCTCTTCAACTCTCACCTGACCTAAAATGTAAACACCTTATTTGCTTCTGCAATACCACCTGACCTCAATACAAACTTGACAAAGGTTCCAAATTGCCAGAAAATGGCACTTTCAATTTCTCCACCCTACAAGATCTAGATAATTCTTGTCGTGAAATGGGCAAATGGTCTGAGGTGCCTGATATCCAGGCATTCTTTTACACATCAGTCCCTCCCTAGTCTCTGCTCCCGATGCGACTCATCCCAAATCTTTCTTCTTTCTCTCCTGTCTGTTCCTTCGGTCTCCACCCCAAGCTCTGAGTACTTTGAATACTCCTTTTCTACGGACCCATCCGACTTCTCCCCTCCTCCCCAGGCTGAGCGAGGTCCCAATTCTTCCTCAGCCTCTGCTCCCCGACCCTATAATCCTTCTATCACCTCCCCTCCTCACACCCAGTCCGGCTTACAGTTTCATCCCATGACGAGCCCTCCCCTACCTGCCCAACAATTTCCTCAAAAAGAGGTGGCTGGAGCTAAAGGCATAGTCAAGGTTAATGCTCCTTTTTTCTTTATCTGACCTCTCCCAAAACAGTTAGGCTCTTTTTCATCAAATATAAAACCCCTGCCCAGTTCATGGCCCATTTGGCAACAACACTTAAAGGCTTTACCGACCTAGACCCAGAGGGGCCAGAAGGCCGTCTTATTCTCAGTATGCATTTTATTACCCAACCCGCTCCCGACATTAGAAAAGCTCCAAAAAATAAATTCCAGCCCTCAAACCCCACAACAGGACTTAATTAACCTTGCCTTCAAGGTGTACAATAATAGAGAAGAGTGGCAATTACTTGCCTCCACTGTGAGAGAAACAGCCACATCTCCAGCACACAAGAACTTCAAAACTCCTAAACTGCAGTGGCCAGGCGTTCCTCCAAGACCTCCTCCCCCAGGATCTTGCTTCAAATGCTGAAAATCTGGCCACTGGACCAAGGAGTGCCTGCAGCCTGGGATTCCTCCTAAGTAATGCCCCATCTGTGCGGGACCCCACTGGAAATTGGACTGTCCAACTCGCCTGGCAGCCATTCCCAGAGTCCCTGGAACTCTGGCCCAAGGCTCGCTGACTGACTCCTTCCCAGATCTTTTTGGCTTAGTGGCTGAAGACTGACACTGCCTGATCGCCTTGGAAGCCTCCTGGACCATCACAGATGCTTTAGGTAACTCTTACAGTGGAGGGTAAGTCCGTCCCCTTCTTAATCAATACAGAGGCTACCCACTCCACATTACCTTCTTTTCAAGGGCCTCTTTCCCTTGCCTCCATAACAATTGTGGTTATTGACGGCCGGGCTTCTAAACCTCTTAAAACTTCCCAATTCTGGTACCAACTGGGATAATATTCTTTTATGCACTCCTTTATAGTTATCCCTGCCTGCCTAGTTCCCTTATTAGGTCGAGGCATTTTAACTAAATTATCTGCTTCCCCGAATATTCCTAGGCAACAGCCACACCTCATTGTCACCCTTTTCCCCAGTTCAAAGCCTCCTTCACATCCTCCCCTTGTATCTCCCCACCTTAATCCAGAAGTATGAGACACCTCTACTCCCTCCTTGGCAAGTGATCACGCACCCCTTACCATCCCATTAAAACCTAATCACCCTTACCCCACTCAATGCCAATATCCCATCCTACAGCACGCTTTAAAAGAATTAAAGCCTGTTTTCACTCACCTGTTACAGCATGGCCTTATAAAGCCTATAAACTCTCCTTACAATTCCCCCATTTTGCCCCTCCACAACCCATTAATCTGTTCTGGATCTCAAAGATGCTTTCTTTACTATTCCTTTGCACCCTTCATCCCAGCCTCTCTTCGCTTTTACTTAAACTGACCCTGACACCCATCAGCCTCAGCAACTTACCTGGGCTGTACTGCCACAAAGCTTCAGGGACAGCCCCCGTTACTTCAGTCAAGCCCAAATTTCTTCCTTATCTGTTACCTATCTCAGCATAATTCTTCATAAAAACACATGTGCTCTCCCTGCCTATCGTGTCCGGCTAATCTCCCAAACCCCAACCCCTTCTACAAAACAACAACTCCTTTCCTTCCTAGGCATGGTTAGGCACTTTCACCTTTAGATACCTAGTTTTGCCATCCTAACTAAACCATTCATTCTCCCCATTTCCCCATATTTACCTCTTTCCTATTCCCCACCCAGACCACACTTGGTTTATTGATGATAGTTCTTCCAGGCCCAATCGCCAATCACTGGCAAAGGCAGGCTATGCTATCATGTCTTCCACATCTATTACTGAAGCTACCGCTCTGCCCCACTCCACTACCTCTCAGTAAGCCAAACTCATTGCCTTAACCCGGGCCCTCACTCTTGCAAAGGGACTACATGTGAATATTTACACTGACTCTAAATATACCTTCCATATCCCACCCACCATGCTGTTATATGGGCTGAAAGAGGTTTCCTCACTACGCAAGGGTCCTCCATCATTAATGCCTCTTTAATAAAAACTCCTCTCAAGGCCGCTTTACTTCCAAAGGAAGCTGGAGTCATTCACTGCAAGGGCCATCAAAAGGCATCAGATCCCATTGCTCAGGGCAATGCTTATGCTGATAAGTAGCTAAAGAAGCAGCTAGCATTCCTACTTCTGTCCCTTATGACCAGTTTTTTTCCTCATCAGTCACTGCTACTTACTCTCCCACTGAAGTTTCCACCTATCAATCCGTCCACACTCAAGGTAAATGGTTTTTGGACCAAGGAAAATATCTCCTTCCAGCCTCACAGGCCCATTCTATTCTGTCATCACTTCATAACCTCTTCCATGTAGGTTACAAGCTGCTAGCCTGTCTCTTAGAACCTCTCATTTGCTTTCCATCGTGGAAATCTATCCTCAAGGAAATCGCTTCTCAGTGCTCCATCTGCTATTCTACTCCTCAGGGATTGTTCAGGCCCCCTCCCTTCCCTACACATCAAGCTCGGGGATTTGCCTCTGCCCAGGACTGGCAAATTGACTTTACTCACATGCGCTGAGTCAGGAAACTAAAATACCTCTTGATGTGGGAAGACACTTTCACTGGATAGGTAGAGGCATTTCCCACAGGGTCTGAGAAGGCCACCATGGTCATTTCTTCTCTTCTGTCAGATGTAATTCCTCAGTTTGGCCTTCCCACCCCTATACAGTCTGCTAGCGGACCA